GTGGTCATAACATAATGAGCTACAGTCATCTTCTGTAATTACCTGAGAGGAAACAACAAAAGTTCTGCCAGTATTTTTTTTTCTTTCGACCTATTATCACAGTTTTCTCCTCTCCTGCTTGCGCTCACCCTTGTTTCTCTTTTATCTCTCTCTCTTTTCTCTGTCTCTCTCTGCTAATGTTCTGGAAGAGATAAGTCAAGGTGTCTTTGGTCTTTGGTCTGATAAGATTTCACACGCTGCTCTTAAAATGAAAGACTGTGTGTGTGTGTGTGAGTGTGAGTGTGTGTGTGAGTGTGTGTGAGTGTGTGTGTGAGTGTGAGTGTGTGTGTGTGTGGTCGGTCTGATGTTGTTCTTCACCGTACAGTATTTGTGTAAGGGCTGTTTTGTCATGCTGTAAGTGTGTTAGTCTGGTTTGCGTTATTTTTTAGACCTGAAGCAAAACATGAATGAGTGTAAACAGTAGTTGCGCAAAATCGGTTTCTGAATGATAACAGCTCTGTCTTTCTATTTTTTGCAACATTGTTTCATTCTATTATTTCATTCTGTTATGTTATTTCTTGCTGTAGTTTTGTCTGTTGTTCTGTCTGTCTTTCTATCGTTCTGTCTGTCATTCTATCATTCTGTCTGTCGTTCTTTGCCATTCTATCTATCATTCTATCTTTTGTTCTATTGTTATGTCTGTCGTTCTATCGACCGTTCTGTCTGTTGTTCTGTCTTTCATTTTAGCTATAATTCTGTCTGTCATTCTTTCTGTCGTTCTATCATTCTGTCTGTCGTTCTTTCTGTCATTCTGTCTTTATTGGCCGTTCTGACTGCCGTTCTATTGTTCTGTCGGTCGTTTTGGTGTCTGTTATTCTGTCTGTTGTTCTAGCTTTCATTCTGTCTGTTGTTTTGTCATTCTATCTATTGTTCTGTCTTTCGTTCTAGCTATCATTGTGTCTGTCATTCTATCTGTCGTTCTATCATTCTGTCTGTCATTCTAGCTATCGTTCTGTCTGTTGTTCTGTCTATTGTTCTGGTGTCTGTTATTCTGTCTGTTTTTCTATCGTTCTGTCTGTCGTTCTGTCTATTGTTCTCTTTCGTTCTAGCTATCATTCTGTCTGTCATTCTATCATTCTGTCTTTCATTCTAGCTATCATTCTGTTTTTCATTCTATCATTCTGTCTGTCGTTCTGTCTATTGTTCTGTCTTTCATTCTAGCTATAATTCTGTATGTCATTCTTTTTGTCATTCTATCATTCTGTCTGTCGTTCTTTGCCATTCTATCTATCATTCTGTCTTTTGTTCTATTATGTCTGTCGTTCTATCGACCGTTCTATCTGTTGTTCTGTCATTCCTTTTAGCTATAATTCTGTCTGTCATTCTTTCTGTCATTCTATCTATCATTCTGTCTTTCATTCTATTGTTATGTCTGTTGTTCTATCAACCGTTCTGTCTGTCGTTCTGTCTATTGTTCTGTCTGTCGTTTTGGTGTCTGTTATTCTGTCTGTTGTTCTATCTATCATTCTGTCTGTTGTTTTATGTAATTCTATCTATTTTTCTGTCTTTCGTTCTAGCTATCATTGTGTCTGTCATTCTAACTGTCGTTCTATCATTCTGTCTGTCATTCTAGCTATTGTTCTGGTGTCTGTTTTTCTATCGTTTTGTCTGTCGTTCTGTCTATTGTTCTGTCTTTCGTTCTAGCTATCATTCTGTCTGTCATTCTATCATTCTGTCTTTCGTTCTAGCTATCATTCTGTCTGTCATTCTAGCTATCGTTCTGTCTGTTGTTCTG